ACACTCGACCGCATGAATACGTTCGGCGACGAGATCTTCGGCGACCCGCAGGTCCTGAAGTCCTACTATTACGCCATCTCTGACCTGTCGGTCGGCGGAATGTATGTCATATTTTTTCTTGACTCCATTTACCATCCATTATATGACCCCTTGTTTGCCCACCCGTCCCACTAATACGTACGTAAACCCCGTATTACAGCTGCAAATGCAACGGACACGCCAACGAGTGTTTCAGTCCACCCGGACAACGGGCCACAGGGCAACGGCGCCTCATATGCCGGTGCGAGCACAACACGGGAGGGCCCGACTGTAACAAGTGTCTGCCCTTCTATAACGACCAGCCCTGGAGGCGGGCGACCGCCAAAAACGCGTACGAATGCAAACGTAAGTCAAGTTTTTTTCTGGTCTTAATCGTACGGATCGTAAGGTTTTTATGAATGATTTTTTTGGGGGTATTTTGTTGTGTTTAACTGTAGTGTAATTTACATAAGCTATCAGTGCTTATCTATCGGCGCTCACGTATCGCACAGTGACTTATATGCGAGCGTAGCGAAACAGTTAGCTATCAATACCAGTCCACCCACTCGTTACGTGATTTATATTTTTAAAAAGCATTTCATAATTAAATTCATGGCTTAATAGGGATTAATGGGTAAACAGTCTTTTTATGTATAAATATTTTTGTTTACGATTTTAATGAATATTTTTTGTCGTCAAACGTATCAATACTTATAAAGCGATGAAACTATTGGTATAAATCGTAGAATTGTTTATTAGACGTTCAAAAAACACAATAATTAATTCATTTACAAAAACAAATCTGCATTTCCTATTAAACCATTAATAGGTATGGTATTAGAAATGGACAGTAAATCTATGCTTTTATATACATTACGTGGGATTTAGACAACTTCCCACTTAATAAGGACAGGTAGACCGGCAACCAATGCATAGGGGATACAACTAATTTCTCAGTCAGTATACACACTACCTGTGCGTTCATAATAGCATAGCTCGCAAACGCCCGTAAAGGGCCACAAGCGAGACAACAGTTATCATTGCCTACCTGTGCGCTGTGTCTATATAAAGTAGTTTACCCTTTGATTACATGAATTAATTGTGAAAAAAGTTATCGATAATTATATTTCGATCAATTTTCCACACTTTTGCAGCAAATATATCGCCGAAAAAGTGTATTGAGTGTAGAAATTAAAAGTTTTAGCAAACAGGTGTTCCGTTCCGTACATACCTTTCCACAGCTCTCAGTTGGTCTTAAAGTTTTGTGTCATTTAAGGACATGTAGTGAACAGAAAATTTTGCGAAATATCTAGTCGTTTGCAACAAAATAATAGACAAAAAGTTCTCAAATATAGTAGAAATTTAATTATCAATTACAATGGATTTGACGTCAAATCCGCTAATCCTGTGGACAGTATTGCTATTATTGTCCACTTTATGGCAATATATTGAGTGCGAGGGCTTCCGAATGCATGGAAGGCTTATGCAGGTCTGGAGCGGAACTGATTGGGAAAGTAATGCCATTTTTCATATCAACAGACTGTCCACTGTCTGAAACTAACCCATCAAATGCAATATCTATTGATACGATAATTTCGGTGATAATTATGGCTAACATTTTGTGCACCCAATAGCGTGTAGTTGCAACGGACGATCCAATCGGTGCTACTTTGACCGCGACCTATGGCTTAAGACAGGACATGGAGGTCACTGTCAGGACTGCGCCGACTTCACGTCCGGCCCTAACTGCGAGCGCTGTCGGGATAACTACTATACGGCGCCCGACAATAGGTGTATGCCCTGTAATTGCGACCCAATCGGTGAGTGCTATACTATTCGTGTTGTGAATTATGCTAATGTAATATGTGTCCACTTTTTTTCAGGCTCCATAAGCCTGCAGTGTGTGGGCACCGGGCAGTGCATATGTAAGCCAGGAGTGGAGGGCCAACGGTGCGATCGATGCGCAGCTAATTACTACGATTTCACGCTAACGGGCTGTCGGTATGTCTTAACCGCGCGTTAATTCATAATTGCACTCATAATACGTAATATATATCGGATATACCGTATTTCACATGTATTTCGGATATTTATCGCAATCGACAACAATCTCAAACCGCTTACCATTTAATCTCAAACCCATGTTTCGTATTACGAGCGCATCGATTGAACCAAATATTTATAAAACAAACCCAAAACCACTCGTATAACTAACGGCACCCACCTTTTTTACCCCCTTTCCCACAGGTCATGCGGCTGTAACGTGGCCGGCAGTCACAACAACACGGCCTCCTGCGAGCAGAGCACCGGGACGTGTCGGTGCAAACAGAACGTGGAGGGCCAGCACTGCGACCGCTGCAAGTCCGGCCACTTTGACCTCCGGCTGGACAACGAGTTCGGGTGTCTGCCGTGCTTTTGCTACGGACACTCTGTCACGTGCGAGACGGCACCGGGATTCTCGATGCACACCATCGAGTCCACGTTCAACCGGGACAGCGAACGCTGGGCGGCCAGAGATCGCACCGGGCGGGAGGTGCCGCACGAGTACGACTCGGCCCAGAAGCACGTGTCGGTCGCGGCCCACACGCGCGAACCCGTCTATTTCGTGGCGCCCGACAAGTATTTGGGTGACCAGAGGGCCTCCTATAACCAGTTCCTGTCGTTCACGTTACGGATCGGACAGGAGGGCCCCAGGGCTACCGTGGAGGACATCGTGCTGGAGGGCACCGGCCTGTTGGTGTCGCAGCCCATCTTCGGTCAGGGCAACCCACTGCCCTCCACGCGCGCCCAGCCCTACAAGTTCCGGCTGCACGAGGACGTGCGCTACGGCTGGGCACCCCGCCTGTCCACCAAGGACTTCATTAGCGTACTGTCCAATCTGACGGCCGTTAAGGTACGGGTGACGTACTCGCCGGCGGGCTCCGGCTTTATGGACGACGTGCGCCTGGAGTCGGCCCGACAGCTGCCGTACAACGAGAGGGCCACGTGGATAGAGATGTGTAGCTGTCCTGACGGCTATGTGGGCCAGTACTGCGAGTCCTGTGCGCCCGGCTATAGGCACGACCCGCCGGGCGGCGGTAGTTTCAGTCAGTGTGTGCCCTGTAATTGCAACGGACATGCAGAGTACTGCGACCCCGACACAGGTATGTCCTGTTTTTTTTGTGCGCTAATAACTCGTGGGTTTAACACCTATTTAATTAACAAATTTATTAATTAAAAAGTAATAACAATTAATTTATATAATAATTACTACTGTATCATAGTTAATGATTAGGGATGTTAAGTTTGATTAATTAATTTTTTGTCATTCAATATTTAGTTAATTCTTGAATTTATATGTTTTTATATCTCAAAAATTTAGTTCTATCAGGGTCTTTTCAAGATATAACTTATAATTTGTTTGTTTTATTGGATTAGTGAGAGATATAAAATATTATCAGTGTAGATTCTACAGTATTCTAGAATATTCTGATAGTTAATCAGTTGTCTATTCATGACACATGTACGTCCCTGGTTATAATTGGTATCAAAAATCTAAATTAAAAACATATATATCGAGTATTTGTGCGCGAATTGGTTACACGTTAATCAAAATAACACCCGCTTTTGCACTCATATAACCATTTAAACACAACTAATCCCTAATCACTTACACGCTAACCACACCTACCGGTGACGGGAACTTACAGGTCGGTGTATATGCGAACATAACACGGCTGGGGATAACTGCGAGGTGTGCGCGTCCGGCTATTTCGGTAAAGCGCTGGAGGGCACCGACAAGGACTGTCAGCCCTGTCCCTGTCCACAACAGGGCGCTTGCGTTATCTTACCGGACGAGTCGGTGGCCTGTCTTCAGTGCCCGGAGGGATACGCAGGTATTGGTCCCACTAATCGGTTATGGGTCTCACACCCCCCACCCTATTACCAGAGGGCTCCGTTCAATCAGTACGTTCGGGACACTACATATTTTACCACAATTGTCCTTGTTAGTTTATATTACGCCCCCAACTCTTAGACCAATCTAAACCCCCTGTCACAGTGAGCACGCATTTATTGAACGGACCTTTTGTTATAAGTATCATATTTACGGTGAATTTATTTAGCGTATTATATATTAAATCAAAACAACAACTAATACTTTAATTATATGACCGCCCATTCGCCCGCCCCTTGGCTTAACCCCAACCCCTTCACAGGACACGAGTGCGACATTTGCGTCGACGGCTACGCGGGTGACCCTAAGGGCCGCTTCGGTGGGTCGTCGGCCTGCTCTCAGTGTCAGTGCAACGGAAACATCGACCCGAACGCCGTCGGCAACTGTAACACCACTTCCGGCGAGTGTTTGAAATGCATATACAATACGCACGGCTTTGAGTGCGAGAAGTGTTTGGCCGGCTATTACGGCTCAGCCCTCGCGCACCCCAAAGGCAACTGCAAGCCGTGCAGTTGTCACCCGTTCGGCACCCACTCGGAGGTGCGCACGACGGCTACCGTTCCCTATCGGGCCTCGTATAGCCTTGCGTTCAGCGCTTTCCAATCGCAACCGCCCCTACTCTGCAATCAGGTCTGTATAACAATTGTCTACCAATTCAATCGGTACGTACGCCACGTAATCTCGTACGTACTCATTGAACGAGCCTTTCGACCGAAACTAATGCAGCAAATTATCTCATTCGTGAACACCAGGCGAACGGTCAGTGCGACTGTCGGCCAAACGTGATGGGCCGCCAGTGCTCTGTCTGTGTGGACGGCTATTGGGACCTCTCGTCGGGCGAGGGCTGTAAGCCGTGCGACTGCGACCCCATCGGCGCCTACAACCGGACGTGCGACGACCGCACCGGCCAGTGCTACTGCAAACCGGGCACAACCGGCAAACAGTGCGCCGAATGCCTGCCCCTTCACTACGGCTTCTCGCCGAAGGGCTGCCCGGCGTGCGAGTGCGACCCCATCGGCTCCACGGCCTCCCAGTGCGACGACAGGGGTCAGTGCCCGTGTCGACCGAACGTGGAGGGCCGCCGATGCGAGCGGTGCCGCGAGAACAAGTACAACAAGGAGGCCGGGTGTCTGGACTGCCCGCCCTGCTATACACTGGTCCAGGAGGCGGTCAACGACCACCGCACCAAACTCCAGGAGCTGACCCAACTGTTGGACGAGATCGAGCGCAACCCGCAGGTCGTGGAGGACATGAACTTCGAGCGCCAGCTCCAGGAGGTGGGCGGGAAGGTGTCGCGACTGTTGGAAGACGCGCGCCGGGCCCAGGGGTCGGACGGCTCGCTCATCGCCCAATTGGAGACACTGAAGGACCGGATCCGTCGCGTGCAGGAGACGGCCGGCCGTATAGCCGAGCAGTCGGAGCACATCGGCTCGTCGGCCGCCTACGGCACCCAAAACATCACTCTCGCGGAGCAGATCATCGATAGGGCCAACGAAGCGCTGGCTCAGGCGCGCCGGTTCCTCGACTCGGAGGGCATGTCGGCGCTCGAGAAGGCGCAGCAACGGTCGGATCGGTTCGGCCAGCAATCGGCGCGCATGTCGGAGATCGCCCGCGAGTCGCGCACTATAGCCGACCGACACGAGGGGGAGGCGACAGACATCGAGAACACGTCGCGCGAGGCGCTCAACACGTCGGACACGGCCTTCCGGTTGGCGAACGACGCGATCGCCACGCAAGAGGCCAATCGCGCGGAACTCAAGCGCATCACCGATCAGTTGGAGGACACGACAGACCTGTTGCTGAGGACGGAGAAGATGTCGGAGGAAGCGAACAGAGGGGCGGCCAAAGCGCACGACGACGCGCTCGCCATGTATACGGACGTGAACGCCGTTGTGGTGCCGGCGCTGCCCAGCGATCGCTACCGTATGGACGCCATCGATATCATCGCTCAGGCGAAGAACCTGATCCGCGACGTCGACGACCTGCTCGCCCGACACGCCAACACTCTGAACGGCACCCGATATCAGCTAAAGGACGCCAGGGATCTGCTGGAGGAGGCGATGCGCCAGCAAAAGGTCACCGACGAGCTGTTGGCCAATACGGACGCGGCGTTGGAGAGGGCGAAGGCGGCCGTCGCCGGCGGCGAACGAGTGCTCGAAGACGCGAAACAGACGCTGAAGACGCTGAAGGAGTTCGACGCGACGGTACAGGAGAGCAGAGGCCGGGCGGACGACGCGCTGAAGAAAGTGCCGGAAATCGATCGCCTCATCACCGACGCCGAGGCCAAGACGGGCGACGCCGAGCAGGCGCTGGAGGGAGCCCTCACGGACGCCATCGAGGCCAGGGATGTGGCCAAAGAGGCCCAGAGGATAGCCGAGAAGGCCAGCGACGACGCGGACCGCATCCGCGGAGAGGCCGGACACACGAAGACGAGGGCCGGAAAGTTGAAGGGCGTGGCCGAGGAGTTGGCCGCCGAAGTGGACGAGACGAGCGACCGTATGAAGGGATACGAGGATCAGGCGAAGACCGACGGATCGCTCGCCGAAGACGCGTTGGCCAAAGCAAATCAGGCCAAGACGTCGGCCCAGGAGGCGGCGCGCAAAGTGGCCGACTCTGCGCGCACTGTCGACGGCATTCTCAACGAGTTAGGTATGTGTGCTCTTCGCCGGTGGAAATGGATGTGTGTTTGGGTAGCCCTTCCCCTATTGAAACACTCGTTTTAGAGCGCCTTTTGAACGAACAGTAAATGTTTGCCTTTTTTCCCGATGCCTTCCCCCACAGACGGCTTGGACGACATCGACGCCTCCCTACTGGAAGAGCTGGAGCGCCGACTCGCCAAAGCGGAACAGGAGCTCAAAGACGCCGACCTCGACAACAAGATGGCTGAGCTGAAGAACATTAGGGACGACCAGAACCGGTGGATGAGGGACTACGACGACGAGATCGACAAACTCCGGCGCGACGTCGCCAACATCGCCGACATCCGCTCCTCACTACCCGACGGATGCTTCCGGCGCCTCAAGTTAGAGCCCTAACCGCGCCCGGGATGGCCTTCACGTCCGTCGAACCCCTCCCCC